TAAGGTTCGCTTATAATCGCCATGTCTGCCTGAAGATCCCTTACTGTGATTGAGGTTTATTTGGACTATTCTCATTTTTTCCTGTTTGTAGAGCTTTCTTAAAAACTGTTTCTTAACTGTATATCTCATGATTTGTATGAAAGAATTGTTCCATACGATTTGATGATAGTGTGTAAATATTCTACTAACACAAACTACATATCAGTAGACTTTTTAAATACGAGCTATTCATCATTGCGCAAAAAATTTAAGTTACATCTGTCTTTTCCACATATTAACCTTAGTACGAAAAAATTTCCCGGTAAGGCTGATGAGTAATGCACTTCTTAGTGCTTTTACCATTGGTTTTAATGAACAAAGATTAAAGAAGACCCAGGGTGGAAATTTTTCACAGTTTTAATAGAAATATGTCGACTAATAAATAGTTCTGATTTAAATGAAAATCAGATTGTGTTACTTTCACATTATATTTCAGTTTATTTTGAATATAGAAAATAATAATAATAATAATAATTTAATATTATTTATCACTTAGAAATATCCCAATCAATGGAATTTTTTGTTCGCTACTACTACAAATATTATCCACAATCTTTGCGCGGGGCAAAAAAGAACATAAGCAATGTTCAAAAAAATAACAATTTAATAGTAAAATTTACAAATTTCACAACTTCAAAAGGAATATAAATCATAAAACTATGTCAATAATCAGATTAAAGAGAATCAACTAATATTATTTATGAGAAAATATTTAAGTATGTTTCACTTTTCCTTAAAACCAAATTGATGAATTATCCATTTTAAACGTTAATGACCTCGCTAAAGCGATATATATCTTGAATTTCATAAATTAAAAAAAAATAGAAATTCTTTCTGCCTATTAAATAATGTTTTTCTTGAACATTATAAATTTAAGTTTAAAATCTACAAATTTCACAACTTCAAAAACAATATAAATTTTAAAAATTTGTCAGCGAAAAGATAAAAAATCAACTAACATTATTTATAAGAAAATATTTAAGTATATTTCACTTCTATTTAAAAACAAATTGATGAATTATCTACTTTTAACATAACTGACCTCGCTAAAGCGATATATTTCTTGAATTTCATACATTAAAAAAAATAGACGTCCTTTCCTATTTGATATAATTTTTTATTAAACTTAATATAATATAAATATATTTATATGTATGTATATAATATTATATAATATAAATATACATATACCTAAGTGGATTTCATTTATAACTACGGTTGCCAGACGTACTGATTTTATCAGTACAGTACTGATTTTTCAACCCTTGTACTGATTTTATTCATTTCTTCAATCAGTACGCCAATGTCCTAATTTTTCAAAATTTGTACTGATTTGTACTGAATTTTCAATTCAAACAAAATACTTTAGTATTTTCTTAAGGTTTTTACATCACGTTGGAACTTCCTTAAATTGTACTGTCAAAAGGAGAAAATAATGTAATAATAGTTGACATGTTTCAGATAATGTTTGATATGCCCACGAAATTAATACAACAATAAGATCAATCGTATTATGGGCATATCGCCGGATCGTTACATTCCAGTTGCGATAATACAATGGAGCTTAAATTATTAAAAAGAAGGCTGACTTTTTTTTGTCGAGTGTTAGTTATCTCGAAAATAACTTTCAGTTTAATAACAACAAATATGAATATTCGAATGGCTTTTGCCTATAACTTACGATTCTTTTTTCATAATTTGTTGATATTGTAAAAGAGTTTTGCATACAAGACATAGAGTTAGGTACTCTTTTCAGCGAATTCTTAGTCTTTAAAAGTTTTTGCGTATTTCAAAAAATTAATTTCAGCAATGAGGAAATATGGATGAAGTCCTTAAATAGTGGTACTTTTCCACAGTTTGAAATAATCATACCTATTACAGTATCCGACGGATGCCGTCCGCACGGATATAATCCGATTCGTACTGTCATAACAAGCGAGTGTGAAGGATTAGATTCTTGCGAATGACATCCGTGGGATACATGCCTATTCCGGTCCGCAGGATGTCATTCGCCTGAATCTAATCCTTAAAACTCGCTTGTTATGATGGTGTGAATCGGACTAGATTCGTGCGGATGACACACTTAAACGAAGCAACTGAGGGTATTAAATTTGCTTCCTAGCTCAAAGAGAGAAACCTGCTTCTAGTTAAAATTTTTTTATGTGATTTTCAAATTAAAAGTAATTTTTAAATGAAATGTATAGAATTCTTTGACTATTTAAACACTGTAGACGGAAATGATCTCATTATTGCTATTCAAAAATGTCAATTTCACCAAAGCAATTTAAGTGAAAAATGATTTTAGTTTTTTTGAATTTTATATGGAAATTTACAAAAAATAAAAAAATCATTTTCCATTTAAATTGTTGGTGAAACCCGCTGTTACATTCATAATTTTGCTTTGAATAAAAATGTACTGAAAAGTACTGATTTTTTTAGCATGAAAAAGTCTAACGTACTGATTTCGCGCATAAAAAATCTGGCAACCCTATTTATAGTATTAATACAAATTTTAATTTTATCATATAATATCGAAATATATCGTGTATGTTTTGTTTGCGTGCGCGATTTCACGAGTTTTAAGCTAGGAAAAAAGTAACCTACCTTTAAGTATGCAAAAATAAACAAAAATTTATTAGAGTTAGTTTTTAAAAAGGTGGCAACCCTACTCAGAAAAAAGTACATTATTGCACATCTAGAGGCTAAGTCTTTTTATGTGATAGTGATGGTGCAGAAGTGATGCCTACGCTTATGATGATTGAATACATTAATTTTCTTAATAGGTGGCAAAGCTATTAAAAAAACACTAGTGCTCTTCTAGAGGCCAATCCCTTTAATTTGACATCTCACTTTTTGTAATCCAACGAACGGTCCAGATCTTATAGATTTTTAGGCAGGTGGCAACGCCACACAAATTTTAAATACCAATGATCACTCTCATATCGATACAGAGTATATTTATTAGAGAAAATCTCGCCCAAATCCGTTCAGTCGTTTTCTAGATTAGCGCGTACAAATAATCTCACCTTTCCTTCATACTATGTATAGATATAGATTAGTATGTGATAACGGACGTGACATATCGGACGCGCAAGATTTTTGCCCCATACAGTATTTTTAACAATAATAAATATTTAATTTTTTCAGTTCTTCTCTCCTCCGTTTCGGGTTTTCATAACCTTTTCTCGGGTTGGTATCGAAATTCTGTTACTACAAAATTCGAAACACGAAATGCTGCCAAACAAAATTCAATTAAATTTTCAAAAACCTGCTTACTCAAAATTCTGCTTTTTGAAAATTCTGGTTTTAACCATTTTGTTTTGCAAAATATTGAATTGCAAAATTCTGTATTAAAATATTATGTAAACAATGTTAACGAGGACATGTCATTACTTTAAAAAGTGCGCACTTTTTCATGACATGTTCTCGTTAACATTGCTTACATTATGTTTTAATACAAAATTATGTAATTCAATATTTTTAATTGGTAAATAATCAATGCCGGATTTAGAATCTATGTATGTGCCCCTAGACTCTTTTCGTGGTACGGGCCTAGTGCTGCAAAAACATCGATGTTTGAAGCTATCGATTTTTCGATGTTTTGGCCAATATAACATCGATAGTATCGATACTATCGTGTTTTCTTGGGAATTTTAACGTTTTGTTTCAAGCTGAAATCCTGATCAATTACAAACATAATTTTTTAACAAATTACATTTGTTATTTTAAAATTATCCAATAATTAATATAAATTTTAAGTTGCCTTGTATTTATGGTCACTTTGAATAGTGAAAGTTAGTAATTAATTAAATTAAAAATTTAAAATAATATAAAAATATGCATAAAGCAACAAGACTATTAATATTTTTTATAAATTATGACTTATTAAATAAATTAAATATATGCTCTTGAAGGCAATAATCCAGGGTACACTCTTCAGGTTTTTATTCTTAATTTTCCCAATTACAGATCGCACTGACAAAATCATTTTTTTAATTAATTAATTAATCCCAACGGCTTTTTACCCTCCATTCCCGCCCAACCGACACGAGGGGGCGGACTGCGGACGTACGGAACCTTTTTTTTTTTTTTAGTTGTTTGGTGGTTAGTAGCGGAAATAGGAGTTTGTTAAGTGTCGAGATCTAAAACTATTCAGCTACAGAATCAAATTCATCAGCTGATTGGATATGCTAAAGATAGTATTTCAATTATTGAGAGTGGAAATAATAGTTTTCTTTATAGTAAAAATCGAGTCCGATACGTGAAACGTGCTGGAATGACAGTTAAAATCTTGACATAAACCACGGAATGATTCGTTTAGTTCAAAATTAGTTTTGCATGGCTTTAAAAATAGAGGTCGAAAGTGTCTTGACATTCGTGAAGGAACATTAAAATTTACCTTAGCCAGGAGGGCCGGGCTATTAATCAAGCCTGCCATTAATTTTACGGTAAATATTATACCCAGCATTTCTCTACGACTTGCGAGTGTAGGCAAATTTATGAGCTTTAGACGACTTGTGTAAGGGGGGAGATTGTAATCTGATCCCAGTTAAAATTACGCAATGCAAAAAGCAAGAATTGTTTTTGAATTGATTCAATCCTTTCTGAATGAACTTCCAAACAATAGATCCGTATTCTAGTATAGGTAACATAAGGATCTTTGAACTCTTTTGACCATCGCCTTACAAATGCAAAAACGCCTTTGGCTTTATTGACTGTAACATTAATATGATGGTTGAAATTGAGTTTGGAATCCATTGTGATACCAAGATCGACAAAATTGGATACCTGCTCCAGATTATAATTTGATATTGAATAAACAGCTGGTTGAACAGCCCTCCGAGAGAAACACATA